GAGGCTGACACACAGATTAGGTAACTGGCCCAAGATTCACAGTCAATACAGGTATGGAATCTATACTCTGATAGTCTTGACTCTAATTTCATTCTCTTTACCACTCATTTTTCCCCCCAGTAGTTTTAATTTTACTATCTCCCTCACTTAACAAAATTACTCCTAATTGCCCTTTTGAGCATTTATAAAAAGGATCTACATCTAAAAACAAATTATATCCAAATTGCTTAAAAGAGGTTTAATACCTCAATTAATATTTATTCTCTTAACTCCTTTTTGAGAACTGGGCAATAATAAAAAATTCCTATTAAAATTTCAAAAGGAAACTACCACCTATCGTGTGAAAAAAAATCTGAAAAATTCAATGTTTAAAAATTTTATATTTGCTATAGTGTTTCAATTGGCCATTAATTTCACTGTTTGCTATACTCAAAAAATTCAACTTCAGGTGGAGAACAAGTGGTACATGCCTATAAGCCCAAGTTCTAGGCCAACCTCGGTAACATTGCAATAGCATGTTATTTAAAAAAAACAAAACAAAACAAAACAAAACTGGGTGTGTAGCTTAGTGGCAGAGTGCTTGCCCAGCATACAAGWGGCAGAGGCCCTAGGGTTCAATCCCTGATACTTCCAAAAAATAAAAATAAACATAAATAAATTCAGGTTCAGAAAGGAGGAAACTAAAAATCTGGACAAACACACACAAGAAGCCATGTCTTATTTTTTTTCCATCAATCTGGTTGTATGGYAGAATAACTCCTGAATTGTTTTTATAAATACACCAGGAAGAAGTATTTTACACTCCCACTTGTATCTGCAACATTCTTCCCACTCTTTTCCTCTTTCCTATTTAACCACTTAATGTTTCTACAAACACCACCATGCACTAATTTTCAACTGTTTCTATTTTTTTTTCCTTTTTATGGACTAGTTTAGAAGAGGTAGAAAATTAAAGAAACAAAAAATGCCAAAAGGTAACCAAGGCAGAAAGCTTTTCCTCAAAACTTCCCTCCCATCTATTTACTGGACATGCTAATACATTTCCCATCCCTGCAATAGAACATGAACTCCTGGTGAAAAAGGGTGTCTTACAACTTAAAAAAAAAAAAAAAAGTCACTTTTACTCACTATAGACCACAAACAATCTTCTTCAAGTCCTATCAATGAATTTACTAAGCCTTGAGAAGAATAAATCTTACCAGGCCAAAGAAAATTAAGGGAGTTGGTAAAATGCTCCAGTCAGTAATACCTCAATAGACCAAAGATGCCAGAAGCATAACTCTAAAGTAAACATTCATGCCTAAAAAATAAAATTATAACACCACAGGTCTAACTGAAAAAGGAATGGCCTCCATCAAAATGTTCTGCTAAGGATGGTAAGCCACTGGTGCATAATATTATTTTGACAAAGTAAAACTGACATTTCAAAAATCCTTATCATCTTTTTAATGTATACATTAATCTAGTGGTTGACATGCTGGTATATTTTATACTTTGCCCTGTACCTCTGGGAAGGTGGGGAAGGTGGGGAAGGTGGGGAAGGCATAAACCTAAGCCAATCTCAACACATACAGTAGGACCACCCATCATCCCAGAATCTGTTCTTTTCAGTATATATAGCAGTTAAGTGCTTACAAAGCACTGACAGAACATATTCACTGAGCAAAGATGGCAACGGATCATCCTTCTCATTTCTACTCAGATTATCAAAAACAGATTCAAGAAACTTTTCTAGAACTTACCTGTTATTAACTTTTCTAGTCAAATTTACCAAAACATTTTTATAAACAGTTTTTATGGTCTTTTCTGGAGAAAAGGAGGAGGATAAAAAGGCATTTCATTATTGAATAATTTTGCCCTAACCATACCAACTAAGTAAAATGTTCTCTTTTTTCTTGGTACTGGGGATTGAACCCAGAGGGCTTTACCACTACACTACATCCCCAGTCCTTTTTGAGACAGGGGCTCACTAAGTTGGTTAGGCTGGCCTTAAACTTGTGATCCTTCTGCCTCAACCTTCCAAGCCACTAGGCCTAGCCCAAACTAAACAGAAATTTCCATGAATAAAATGCAAATATTGAAACAATCATAAAGGTGAAAAGATAAAAAGTCTCTTTTTCTCCCTATTTTTGACATACAAAACTTAAACTTGAATCAACCTGGAAATTTTTTACTATACTTGAGCATTAAATAAGTCATTTTCATTCTATGTCAGGGCCTAATCTTAGAAGTTCAGAAGCTGGGATTTAAGTATTAATTTGTTTTGTAATACTTCAGCATGTCAACCCACTGGATTCCAGTTTTCATTCCTATAAGAGTAAAACACTCAAACATCCTTTGTAGGTATGTGCTTAACACTAGAAACTTTGAAAAAGTTTCTGGGATCTAGCCAGGGACACGCCTGTAATCCCAGTACTCAGGAGGCTGAGGCAGGAGGATCTCGAGTTCAAAACAAAACCAGTCTCAGCAATTTAGCGAGGCACTTCGAAACTCAGCAAGACCATCTCTAATAAAATATAAAAAAGGGGCTGAAGATGTGGCACAGTCATTAAGCACCCCTGGGTTCAATGCCCAGTACCAAAAAASAAAGTTTCTGGGATCCAGAAGTTTTGGCTCATTTTGGCCAGTTCTAATCATAATCAAATATCAAAGAACAACTTCCTTTTACATTTATAAAATAGTAAAGCTACAAGTCAAAAATGTAAAGTTGTAAATTTAAAATGTGAAGTTTTAAAAGTGCCTTGATTAAAAACTGCCTGCAAACTTACATTACACAAAAAAATATCAAAATGTAATGGTGCTCAGCATGAAGTGAAGTTCAGAGAGTGGCAGGTTTTTTTTTTTTTTTTTTAAATACTTATCCCCTACCCCTCACCCCCCAAAAAATCCAGAGTGGTTAAAATTTGAAATTGTACAAAGAATTCCAGGAGTAAAGAATTGATAAAAGGGGGGGGGGGATTAACTCACTACAAATCTTAGAAAACCGTTAAGATCAAATTCAAGAATTAGTGAATTAACTAATTCCAATGTTTAAGGACTCTTTTTTTTTACATTTAGGACTCATAATATTCAAAGATATTTCAAGAAGTAAAACAGTTTTTGCTTATTAAGCCGGTATGACACTACCAAAATGAGTTAGCCCAAGTTGATAGTAGTTAGTCAAGGACACAGATCAGTAATGGAGAATAAGTAGTGCACCTGAACAGACAAGAACAGAACTCCAAGTTTAAACTGCTCAAATCAGGACTCATCAAAATAAAGCATAYAAAGTTTTCCCTACAACAGTTATTAGCTAATGCAAATGTAAAATCCATTACCACCTTAGGCAAAAACTAAAGAACAAAAACTGTATTATACAAAAACTGAAGAAATAACACAAAAATCTACAGGAAAATACATGTCTTAAGATGATTTTAAAATTTGAATGACACGGTAGTAAGTGCAAAGAACAACATATTAATGCGTATGAACTTGAAGAGAAAGAGCTTTAAAAAAAAAAAAAAAACCTTAAACTCCAGAAACTTCAAGGCACAGGCACAGATCAAAGTTCACACATGGCCAATGCTTGTTCTTAGGAAGAACACTGTTAAGACTCCTACTTCTCAATTTTTGCAGGTTAACTTGGACCTGTGACTTATATGATTGATACACCTAACTCTATAAAAGCAAAAAATTCAAAGCATTTGCTATATCCTCCTATTTTCATCCTTTGAGATGAACTCTACTGAGAAACATGCTCTAGAAGTTTTCTACAAACTTAAAGGGTACATTTAACTCCATTATGCACTCTCACTGGCAGATGGAGGGATGACGTTGTGCCTGTTCTCAGGGAGTTAAAGAGATGCTCATAGTAAGGGGGAACATCTTGGGGACTGTCAGATGGCCAGCCATTCTTCCTCTTCATTATCCTGGCATCTCAAACAACTACAACTGCAAAAGGGAAGGTCGCTGGCCATCAGGATAACACCATTAAACAGTAAGTAGGAAAAGAAAAGGATGATGGAAGAGATTTCCCTGAATTTCCCCTAACAAAGGGACTGTCTACAACTCAAGGAAGAAAAGAACCAGAGAGCTTTTAAACTGAAACCAAGACCTTCAAATATATTTGAAGAGTATAAAGACAAAAACAAACACAAACCTAATGCATATTTTAAAACTTTTGAACAAGCAATTCACGTTTGAAGTTCATGACTGGGACACTTTCAACTTCGAATTTCAATTTCCAAACACATAATTCCAGAAAATCATTTATCTTTTCTCTCCCCACTCACCATAAAAAAGTGACAAACTGCAAAGAAAATGCCTCTACTCTCCCAAACCTAAAAACCAGAGTTTCAGACATTTTGGTCTCAGAGAAAATGAACTGGGAGATGTAAAATGAACTGCGCTCCATATTGATTCTTAAAGCAAATAAGGAGGGAAAAAAAAGGCTAAAAAATGGTCGGTAAGAGCAAATAATTTTGTTAAAACTTTACGTCAAACTTGAGATCTACTATCTCACACACACAAAACCAAGATTTTTTACATCCTATTTCTCAACAGAAAATCTTCTGAAAGGAGCAAAATCTTGAAAAGGAAAAGTGGGAAAGTAAAGGAAACAGAATAAGTATAACGAAGGAGAAAGAATTCAAAATCCCTCAATTACTAACAACAAAAATCAAAACTAAAATCGCATAAAAAATTCTTACACACAAATGCATTTCTCAAATTAAACTGCATTGGAGCAACAATAAAGGCCATTTCCATACAGCACTCACTTAAGAGCTCTAATTCCAGAACACACATCGATATGACATAGTGTTGCAACGAATGTATCAGGAGGCAAAGAAAATGGTTGGGCCACTGGACGTCTTCGACCAGCTCATTCAAACACCTTTAAAATTAATTACGGGGCAGGAAACTAGGAGGAGAGAAAGCGAGAAAAAATACAGAAGAATAAAGGTAGACTGAGCAGAAACGATGAAGGGGGATGTGGAAGGCCAGGGCTCCCCGATACTAACCTGTGCCATCGCTGGCCGACGCCGAAAGGGCCGGAGATGAGAGTTTAGGCCGCTTGGCTGAAGGCGGCCCGGGTTCCACCACATTCTCGGCCATTTTTAATTCTTTCGGAGATACAGGAGGGGAAAACGAGAATCCTCAGGAAATATCTTCTTCGGCCTGGGGTCCCCGCCCCGCTCCCAGGGGTGGGCTTGGGGGCTCCGCCGACACCCGAGGGGGGTGGGGAAGTTCCTTTTTCTGTTCGCCGGGTCGCGGTGGCTGGAGAGGGATGCGGACTCGATAGGAAAGGTAGGGGCAAGTGCGAGGGGCCGGGCCTCCGCCGGGCCCGGAGGAGGGCACAGGAACAAATCCGCCGAGCGCGTCCGCTGCGGCGAATTCCCAAGAACTCGCGGCTCTAGAGGCGCAGTCCCCGGCCCGCCACGGCCGGCCGCTGCCCAGCCAAGGTCTCTCGGAGCTCCGCCGCCGCCATCAGCCTCTTCCTCCTCGGCGCTGTCCTCCTCCTTCTCATCGCCACAAGGAGGCGGGGGCGAAAAGGGGGGAGAGGAGGAGGCGACGAGAGACACTCACCTCCTCCCGGTGCCCCCTCCCGGGCCTGCGCCCCCACCCTCCGAGCCCTCCTCCTGCCGCCGCGCTCCGCGCCGCTGCCGCACCGGCCCCTAATGGCCGCAGAGAGCTCACCCGAGCCGAGAGCCAGGCTGGCGCCGCCGCCTCACATCGCGCGGCGGCTGGCGGAGGCGCKGCGAAGACGCCGGGCGCGGGGCTCGCCGGCCCAGAGGGCCGAGGGGGCCGGGCCAGGCAGCGCCGCCCGTCCGCCCGCGCCGACGCCGAGCCCACCGAGGAGGCCCCGCTCAGGCGGCGGCGCAGGCGGCCTCCTCTCGCGCCGCGCTCTCCGGCTTCGCCCTCCGCTCCCGCGGAAAATAAATAAATACGGCCGCCGCTACGGCCCCCACCCCCGGCGGCCAGGTGCCGGGAGCGCCCGCCCCCCGGGTTCGGCTCGGGCCGCCCTCGGCGGCGGGCGAAGGCGCCGCGGGGCGCGGGGTTATGTAATGGTCCCCCCTAGGCGTCGACGCCGGCCGGGCTCCCGGGCCGCGGTGGGGGTGTGTGCGGGCGAGACGGGGCTGGGGGTCGCCTCAGCCCGTGCGCCCCGGGCCCCCTGCCACTGTCTCGGCCCCAGCCGCCGCTCTCCGGCCCGGCTCCCCTCCGCACTCTCTCGCTCCCGCAGTTCGCACTCAGCCCGGCGTCCCGCCTGCCCACTCTCGCCCGCTCCCTCTCGCCCTCTCTCCCCCCCAGCCTAGCACACAAACAAGATGGCGGCTGTTGTTTCTTCCCTCTGCCGAACCCTCCTTACAGGCTAGCGGTAGCGACGGCGGCCGGAAATGAGCCAAGGGGGGGTGAAAAAAAGGGGAGGGGCTGGGGCTCCGGAGGGAGGTGGCTGGGGCGGGGCCTCGCCTGAGCCGCTCACACAATGGGGGAAAGAGGAGCCGGGGGCGGGGCCGGTTCCAATCACGGGATCCGCCCAAGGCCCCAACGCGCTTGGCGCTTCCGCAAACTCCCCCGGCGTCACCCGGCGGCCCCCTTTAAAGGGGAGGGCTTTAAGGGGGGGGCCAGGGGCGGACTCGGAACCTATTTTCCGTCGGTGGACAGTTACGGGGGAAGGTGCTAGGGCTGGGTCTCCGCRTAGAAGACCGGTGGGAACCGGGGTGAGGGAGCCCGGGAGCTGCGCCCCAGAAGGCGCCAAGTCACGGCGCAGGTGGACTAATAGGAGTGCTGGTGGGGAGGGCCCTGAGTCCCGGGCCCTTGAGCGGCCGGTCTTTCGACTTGGCCGGTCTATCCACCAGGTAGAGGATACCCGCCGCCCCGGGTTTGAGGACAGAGACCCCGTGCACCCCCTCTTTCCTCCAACGTCTTCCCAAAGAGAATGGCTCACATCTCCAGACCACACTTAYTACGAATTGTTCCCATTTTCTCTGAATTTTCTAATTTTTTGGACAAGCATATTTATTACTTTGGCAATTAGAAAAATAATAGCAATGGGAGAATGTTTTAGGTCCAAACCCAAAATCTTGACCATTAAACTGAAGGTTTAGGGTATTTTTAGGGTATTTCTTTTTGCCCATCCCCAATAGACCAGCTTAATAAAAGACCACATTAGGCAGTGCCTTAAATACAGTGTATGGGGTAAAAGCAGAAATGTAAGGTACTAAAGGTAATGTAACTGCGAAAAAACAACAAAACTAATGAATGGAAGATGTTTGAAGTCTGGTGTATGGAACAAGAAGTTTGCAGTAGAAAGAAGAAAGTATGCTTTAACATTCCTACACACTACAGGATTCCCCTGTGTTTCTTCCTTGGGTAAATTGGGACTGGAGAAGATAGCAAGGGTGTAAATGGCCTCCTAAGGAAACCCCAAACCACTATCTATCAAGATGATTAAAAGCTTTTTCTCATATTTCACATCTTATGCTCCTTAGTTGGTGTTTACATTACATATTGTTGGGCCTACTTCCCCTCCACCTACCCCAATGATGAAGAGAATAAGAACCTAGGAGTAGGATTGGGGATGTAGCTCAGGGGTAGAGAGCTTGCCTAGCATGTGTGAGGCCCTAGGTTTAATCTCCAGTACCAAAAGAACCTAGGTGTGAAGATCTATAAAACAACTCAAGTAGTCTTGGAAGATGAGTTCAGTTGCACAAACAGTAAGCCTAGTTTACCCAAACTTCAGTAGAAAAGCAGGCAGATTGAAAAGGACAATACTTATTTATCTTAAAACTGTTAGGGGACAGATTCATGTGTAGGGGGAAGAACAAGATGGACCTTTAGGAATCTTTAACAGTGTATACCTCCATTCACAGTAATGAGGACAAAGGAAGGAAATGAGGATGACACCTGGAATCATGGTCTGTGATTTCCTTGTGAGAGGGTTGCTTACCCAATTTTTGAAGATTTCTGACCTTAAGGAAAATATTTGACTAGTTTTGCAGAAGATCCACCTTGAGTCTTCCTATTCAGACATACCCTACCCACCTGGCAAAGATACTGTAAGACTCAGTTTAAGAAGTAGATCAAAGGAATAAGGCACTGTGGTACACTCCTGTAATCCAAGCAGCTTGGGAAACACAAGGAAGGACCACAAGTTCAAAGCCAGCCTCAGCAATTTAGCGAGGTCCTAAGCAACTATCTCAGAAAATAAAAATGGAGGGGAGCTGGAGATGTGGCT